AAGCATAAGTGCGTATTTCTGCAACTACTACACTTTTTATAGCCCTGTCACACTCCCAGATAGAGCTGTATCATTATATGGAGTTACATAACCATAAAAAGTTATATCACTGGAAGCATTACAGCGCTGTCCCAGACAGCCTTGATTATCAAAGTCTGGCTGTAGCAAGTGGGGAGGAAAAAAAAAAAAAAAGAAAAAACAAAAACCAACCCCAACACCAACTTCAGGATACTGCTGTGCTGTCTCCTGATCCCATCTGCTAACAGCACACAGACCTGAGCTGCAGGGGCCTCATTAACACAGCTTTGCATCCTAATTCAGCGTCCCATCAGTATTCAGCAGAACTTCCCAATCACTTCCAGCACGTGACAAGCCTGGTATTTCACTCAAAAGAGACTTAAGGGAACCAGTGAGAATACTAGCTGAAAAAACCTCCAAGTTTACCTAGAGACCACTTTTTTTCTTCACTGACGATAACAAAGGACATAAAGCCATTGCACAACCAGGTGAAACTCCACTATAAGCCCAGAAAACGCCAGTCTTTTTTTCTATCCTTAAACTTTTAGTTCAATATAATCTACAGCACTCCTGGCTTCAAATGTTGTTAACATTTTAAGTGGCCCCATTTGGCCTTCTAATATCTAGGGCCCAGAAAAATGGCTTCATTTTTTTCTGACAAATAAACATAATCTTATTACCACTGTGTGTCTTTGGAGGGATTGAAAGTCTTCAGATGTTTTTAAAAGGCCATTGGGTAAAGACAGAATAAAAGCACAGCATGCTGATAAAAGCATCCAACTGTGACCCTACAATGGTGCAAACATAAAAAAGAAGATTCTTTGGGTTTTATTCTCTGGAAGAAAATACATAATACAATCTTTCATATGCTTGTAATGGCCTTCCACCTCTGCTGTGTAAGGCATTCATCCAAGACACCTGGAGATCTGGCCCTCCACCACCACAGGTAGGACCTATTGCTCGGTACTGAATCCAGATCAGACAAATGTTCGTGTTACCAAAGAGGAACAGAAGGAAAGAAAGAGAGACCAGACAAGCATAGCACAACTCCTCCACTGTAAAATAAGGCATTGTCCCAGTGACCACAAAGTGGAGCCATCATCTCCTGTGACATCTCCTGCCCCATCACTAATTCTCACGCCTCTTCTTCCATGCTGCCACCATCCACAGCTCGTCCAGCCACCGACTCAGGAGCTGGGGCACTACGAACCACAAACCAAGTCAACAAAGGGTGTTCTCCCTACCCTCCAAACCATAAACCAAGTCAACAGAGGGTGTTCTCTCCCTACCCTTCAGACCTGCACAACTGCCGGTGGCACCTGATTCACCCAGGATTGAACACGTGAACCAGGTGGCTGACATTTCCTTCTGTTATCACCTTCATTGCTTCTACTTGAGATGCTGCAGGTTTTTTACAGTTTTGCATGTTTAGACACCTTTAAAGTAATTTTCCATTTACAAGGATACAACAGTACTTTTTGGCCATCATCACATTGCTATACATCATAGGTGTCCCACACATCGCCCAGCGATAATAGATACCAGCATAGGTGACAAGAAAACAAGTCAGTCAAATCTGCCTGTACCCCCTCAGAAACCAAGGGGGTTGATCTCTGCCACTGTGTTTTATTAGAGGAAGACAGCTTTTAAATACTCCTTTTCTCCAGTCTTGCTTTCAGTCCAGTAAGTTTCAACAGCTTTCTGGACTGCAACAAATTCAGAGTCTCCTGGGTGACCCGGGAAAATTTTTCATTACTTTTATTCCCTCCTGCAAGCAAAGTCCCCTCCTCCTCCTCCTCCTCTCCGACGTCATTACCGCACATCTAAACAGGGAGTGCACAGGTAAGCAGAGAGCTATACCATCTGCCGCAGTGCCCCAGACCTCTCTAATTCCCCTTGCTTGCACGGGGCTACTCCCCGTGATGTCAGCTATATTTTTTGTACTGAGCCTGTAAACAAGCATGTTTCCGAGCCGGTACTGAGCAAAAAAAAAAAAAAAAAAAAAAAATCCCACCTCTCCCTTGCAATGTGCTTTGTAGCGAGGCAACTATTTTCTTTTATTTGTATGTCATGTTTTCACAAACACAACAAGCTCCTCAATGCTTCCGAGCGGTTCTGCATTCTCAGCACCAGGGCAGCGCTCCCTGCCCCCTGAAACTGCGGTTCCCTTGTAAGGTCTACACGAGATGCTGACCGCGTTGCAGCCACCACAAGCAGACCTGGCAAACCCAACCATTTGTTTCCAGGAGCTGGGACAGACGGACACCCTGCAGTGTAGATACACCCATTGTCATGATTTAAATATCAAATCCTTATACCTCGTAGGAGCGTGATATACTGAAGCTTCACAACAAAGCAACCTACCTTTGAACAGCACAGAATATATTGGTACGGAGAGATTATTGCATAATGGCATCAATATTTTATTTCTGTTGAATTTTTTATCTCAAATTTACTGCTCCCATAAGTAATAGACAGTAACTCATCTGCACCATAGTTACTTATGTATTATGTATTGCATGGTCCTGGCAGAATTTCCAAAGAATAATCTTTCTTTTAAAAAGAAAAAAAAAAAAATCCCTTTCAATGACAAATCCCAGCACTCAACAGCAGTATTTTACTGAAATGCTTTTTACAAAAAGTTTAAAAATTCTCCGCTAAATTGTAATGTATATGTTTACCAATCTCATAATTCAAAAAGAAAGTGGCCCAGCAGCTTCCAAGCACACTGTAATGCATCTGCAAAGACAATGAATTATGAATCTCTCATAGCACTACGTCTGACAAAACAACATTGTCATCCCAGGGCCGCGGGATCCTGCCGATCCACCCAGTTGAGACACAGAGGGTAATGCAACAGTGCTGGTTTCCCATCCTTGTAGTAAAATAGTGCAAATATTTGACTATGGGGTTTTTTTTATATGAAGAATATAAAAGGCAAACTCAAATTTATGCAAAAGGAGAAGAAAAAATTCAGGTCAATGGTTTGTAATTACAAAGCTTGTTGGAGGTACTGATCAATGTTAATCACTGATCGATGTTAATAGATGCTCTAATCAAAGCACCCTGAGCAAATTCTTAAGGCTCCAATCCTATGCCTTAAAGCCACCTGAGAGATATGGCTGTGCTGCCTTCTGCGGTGTTTTGTTTTTTCAAGTATGACTTTTGACAGAAGTAAGTGCTCTTTAAACATGCAGTCAGACCTCTCTGGCTGCTGACGACAATATTTTGCAATGTTCATAGTTAACGCCTGGCATCTTAACTAATGGTACCCTTCACTGGAGAACAGCAGTACACAAGTTATGCACTTCGCAGCTATTGCTCTTTCCCATATATTGTTCCTAGAATGGATGCCAGGTGGATTCTGCTCCTCCTCAGCCACAAGATGGGGAGGGGGAGAGCTCAGCCCCTGCCCAGGGAAGGCAGCAGAGTATGAATCTCCCAGGCTGAGAATCCAAAGGAGGCAACGTTCATCATTTTGGCAGTTGGGAGCCACCTTCAATATGTTCTCCCTGTCCTGCCTCTGCCCCACACTCCTCAGTACAATTATGTACTGCAGAAAGTAGGGCAGAGCCAGTGAAAGGGGGGATGTTGGAGGCTGGTTCCATGCAACATCTCGGTCCCCCCAGAAAGCATCAAATAGGAAATCCTGCAAGAACCACCTTGCAATGCCTGGCTTTTTCCTTTATGAGCTCCCACTACATATTATATACACTGCAGCAAGGAGCCAGTCCCATGCCTTCAGACCTCTACAATTACAGTCTTTTCAATTAACTGGCATTTATCCTAAAAATTTCAGACTGTTTCCAGGCAGAAGAATTCCACATTATGGAGGTGAAAGTGAAATAAAGGAATATTTGCAGGTTGCTAACTAAATTGTAGAGGCAGTAAAGCTTATGATGGCTGAGAAGGCATTCCTATATCAGGATCTTATAACTTTATGGATAATACTCTCTAGACCAAAAAATCCTCATATTTGGCATTAGCCCGAAGAGAGGCCTTTTGTTTTATTTTAAGTCTGCCTTTATAAATCTACTTTTCAGTTATCCAAACACATATAATAAGTGTTATCTAGATCATACGAAATTAGTTTAAATCCTGTTTGCATTCAAATGACACCAAGTTTACTCTGAAGATGACGGCTTAGAGCACACGCGGCTCTCAGTGAGAAATCAAGCCTTCTCCAAGCGTGAAGAGAAAAATATAGCAAGGAATTAATCACGAGAAGGCAACTTCCAAGAGAAGATGGGATGTGGATGCTGTAGCATAAATGCCCTTCTTTATGTAAGTGCATTCCTTTACCCAAAGCAATACACACGTGAACCTGACACAAGACACACGTCTCATAGCCGAAGCAGAGGATGCTGCTAGGTCCTCTGCACCTTTCTCCACCAATTCTCTCTTGTGCCAGGCTGTGGGTCTGGCTGTGGGTTGCTGGTGATGAAAGCATGGGACATCTCAACAGACACCACCACCAGCAGCTGTTAAATAACGAGTACTATGGCCACTGCCATGCAGTCAACATTGCTGGCCAGTAATAAAGGACCCAGATGGGCTGGGGTTTCTTGCATTTCATCCCCAAGAGTGAAAAAGGGAGGCAATATCAACATCTCAGCACAAAGGAGCTGAAATCACTTTTTTTTCTGAAAAAAAAGATACCAGTCCCTTAGGAGAAAGGTCTCCCAAAACAAAACTATGCCATTTTTAGCCAGTGCCAGCTGTAGTGAAAAAGTAGTGAACCTACAAAGCGAAAGGCAGGCTCGTGACGCTGGCAAAACGCTGTTAGGGAAATTCCATTTATGGTGATTTATCTTTTATTTTTAAGCAATAATTTAGGAGAGTGGCACTGAATCTCTGACAGGTCACAAAACATTTCCTGAATTCAAGTCACAGATCACAGGCATGACACGTCTCTGTCACAGGACTGAGCTCAAGCATGTACTTTATCAATTACAAAAACTAATGGTGTATTTCATATTTACCTTTTGTTGAATCATCTTCAATTGGTTGTTTGAACAAAGTGATATCCTTGAAAGTGCACAGAAACAAAACCACTTTTTCGTGCTCATTTCTTATAGGTGCAATTTGCATGTAGAACCAAACTGGGGTTCCTGAAGCAAAAAAAAGGTGACATTGGACTGTTGTGTAGCAGAAACTTTCCCCAGCCCATACACAGAATACTTCATCATTTACATGTTATTATAACACACGTGTAGTTTAGGACCATATCTCAATATTTCTACATTTTCCAGATCTTTTAATTTTACCTCCTCAAAGGAAAACAACATATTACCACTTTTACAGCTTCATTACAATGGGGAAACACTACCAATCTAATTAGACAATAAGCAGAGACAGGAGGCTTTCTAAATTTCATTCTGAAATAAAATGTATTATTCTTCCCCTCGTGCTCCTGGTTTTTTCCCAGCATGTCTCACAGTGTCTGCAAGGTAGGAAGGCAAGAAAAAAAACGGGTGGATGGTATCTTCACAGAAAGGGTTGTCAGGCTCTGGAATGGGCTTCCCAGGGAGGTGGTGGAGTCCCCATCCCTGGAGGTATTTAAAAGGAGGATAGATGAGGTGCTTAGGGACATGGTTTAGTGGTGGGATGTCAGGGTTAGGTTAACGGTTGGGCTCGATGATCTCAAAGGTCTTTTCCAACCAAAGCGATTCTATGATTCTTCTAAATCTGTGAATCCTAGTTCACATAACAGGGAGCTTTCAAATCCAAAACTGACGGAGTATACTGTCATATGCTCAAAATGTGATGCTACTCCATTATTTAAGAGGACCTGAGCTAATCCAGACACAGACTCTAAATGTCCTATCAGGACAAACCAGGAGATTCGATTTCCTTTTGGTGTTTCAGGCCATACGCTCCACCTCCTCATCGTCCTGCCCAGCGGAGCACTCTGCCAGGGCAGTTATCTCTATTTAGCTTTTGAAATAAATAAAAAATATTTTTTCAAATCCTACCACTCATTAAATAAATGCCCCAAAAATGCCTACGGTGTTGGAATGGTTAGCATGGCTTTCGGTAAATCCTCACTGCTCACACAGGGGTCCTGCAGGTGCTCAGGAGCTGAAACTGGGTTTGTTTCTTCCTAGGCTGGAACACACTTGGGCAGTCCCCTGTGTACATGCAGGTCTGCCCTGTAAGGGGCAAAATCCGAAAAGGCTTTAAGCAATTTGTTAAGAAACACCCTGTTCACCTGCAGGGATGTGAAAGTCACAGATGCTTTCCACTCAGTAAAGCTCCATGCCCACAGCTGTGTCCCTTCCGTCCCCAACCTGCACCTACACACACTGCGCTATAAATGCCTTCACAGCCAGCTCATTACCTTTGGGATTTGGTGGGCTTTCAGACAGTTGACATAATGGCTCTTCTCCTGAGCTGTCTGAATGCCAGCCTGAGAGCTGACACGTTGAGACAAGCCGCTTGCCCACTGTTATCCCATGGGCACCACTGCCTCCCCCCCCCCCTCAAATCTCTAATGCACCGTGTCTGGGAGCTGTGCCAGAAACTGCAGGATAGATGCCCAGAGGGCAATGATCCCATTTGGACTAGGACTACTGGGGGGAAGGTTAAAATCCACAAGGGTTCATAATAAAATTCAGCACTGATGAAGTGGGATTAAACCAGTAACTCACTAGCAGTAAACTGGAGAAGTGGGAGAGATGGGGGACTGCTTTTTGTGGTAGTTCCAGAGCCATTATGCTGATTACTTGATTATCTCAATTCCCGATTGCTAACCCAAGATAAAAGACTTGTTCATAACTTCTAAAAGAGAGTGCTGCATCTCTCTGGAATAATACTGTACTTGCGCTTATACCTGGCAACTCATCAGCACCCTTTGAAAAGCTCTGAAAGTAAGTGGGCAAAATAACCTGTACAACAGCACTGATAAAAATCAAAGACGAGGCAAGGTGCCTTCTGCTGCAGAAGCAACAATCTGAGCAAAACCAGGCAAAGAGGTTTTCTGATTACCAACATATACAGATATATGCATGCCTACATGGTTGCCGAAGAGCTGGGTAGGTAGAGCTGAGGACTATAGATGAGGGAATGCAGTAAAGCAGAAGAAATTCGTAGCAAACTTTGAGGTCTGAACCTGAAACCTGCTAGCTGGGTTAAAATGCCAAGGGGGCATGCAAAGTCAGCAGTCGTGTGAAGGCTGCCTGAGAACAAAAGCTCTTGAAGATCACCTCTGTGCCAAAGGAAAGAAGGATGGGAAAGCAATCCGAAAAATCTCAAAATCTCCCTCTGCCAAAAGCATAAAGGAATGGGTGAGAAAGAAAAGGTTGTGCCACATAATCAAAAATACACAGCACCTCTGGACCTAGAGCTTGAAAATGTGGGTGGGAGGGTACTCGGAGAAGCACTGCAAGCTCCATGCAGGAGAGAGGCAATATGCAGGGTCTCTGCAGGGGATAAAACACAAGCCCTTCCACAGAGTAACTGCCTACATTTTGCAGAAGTATATTCATGTATATGGACATGCAGAAGTATATTCATTCATACCAACACATACTATTCTTTATTTCTTTATCTGCTCCAATATTCAGCCTGAGGATAAGACTGATAAGCAAGCAGTTTCTTGAAGAACTTTTCACACACACACAGACACACACACAGAATCGCAAGGGTTGGAAGGGACCTCGGGAGATCATCTAGTCCAACCCCCCTGCTAAAGCAGGCTCTCCTAGAACATTCTACACAGGACTTCATCCAGGCGGGCCTTGAATATCTCCAGAGAAGGAGACTCCACAACCTCCCTGGGCAGCCTGTTCCAGTGCTCTGCCACCCTCGAAGTAAAGAAGTTTTTCCTCATATTCAACTGAAACCTCTTATGTTTCAGTTTGCACCCATTGCCCCTAGTCCTGTCGCTGGGCACCACTGCAAACAGACTGCTTCCATCCTCATGACTTCCGCCCTTAAGATATTTGTATGCGTTGATAAGGTCCCCTCTCAGTCTTCTCTTCTTCAGGCTGAACAAGCCCAACTCTCTCAGCCTTTCCTCGTAGGGGAGGTGCTCCTTCTGCAAGGCTCAGAGTATGACAAATGGAAGCAAGCCCTGGGCAAACCAGGTGCTGAACTGGAGCCAAAAGGTGAGCCTATTAGTGTTAGCAAGAGGTTGAAGTTCTGGGCTTCAGGTGATGCAGAATGAAGCTGGCAACAGACGTTATGGATGGGAACTGACTCATGCCTGAAAAGAAATACGAGGACTTTTCCATAAAGTCTTTCTGTAATACTGCGTAACTTATGGAAAGTACAGGCTTGGAGATCTGGGCAAAGGTGAAGATTTTATTAAGGCAACTGCAGCTCAATAAATCTCTGAAGCATCATCAAGCTCCAGCAGGCAATCCACAACCCAAAGCAAAAAGCAACTGGCTTGTTACAGAAAAGTCTCCTCTTTTTATACTTAAATAAAATAGAAAGAAATTTAGATCAGGACTGGCCCGTGCTAGAGCAGGAGCTGCCAGCCCAGTTATTACGAGAAGCCAGGGGGAGACCACTGGGTCTCTGGGATGCTCTTCGGAAATCACATGGGCACAGGACATGGCAGTGCTGGGCACCACCACCTGCAAAGATACCAAACACAAGTCTGTCCCGGGGAAGTCCCCTAATGTGAGGGGACATGCAGGTAACTGGGCAGAGAAGCAGAAAATCTAGAGAACAGACACATCCATATGCTGAGGAACTGAAAAGAGGTCATTTGGAGGGCTTTCCTGCACACCTGAAGAAACAGCTGGACTTCAGAGCCGCTCTTGCTTCTCTTTTTAATTAAAGTGTTGGCTAAAATGCTTTGAAGCAGGCAGAACTGGAGAAACCTGAAGACATTTCCTACTGCTTAAATGCACAGACAGGAAGATTTAGTCTAAAAAGGGAAAGTGGAAATAAAGCATAAAGCATGTGAGTTTGTTTCAAGAAGACAAGGTGTCTGGGATGCTCTCTTCAATGCCATGAGAGGTTTATGTGAGCTTGCAGTGAAATGGGGCAGTCAGGCACAGTGAGCTCTTTCCAGGGGCACCACCGTCCCCTCCTCGCAGCCACGACATGCAGAGGAAGCCTCCAGCCTCACCCCAGAAAGGTGCTCCATGCTAACACCAAAGTCCACCCCCAGGGGGAAGGCAGCCTCAGCTACTGGGCTTCAGGCAGCTGAACCAGGGGGAAAACTCTCCGACCCCACAGGACCTGCACCCTCTACTGGGCAAGGAAAGCCAAACCAGAGAAAACATCTCCATCAGGATTGCTCTTGGCTTGTGTTTGGCATGGCCAGCAACCCAGTCAACTAGACTTGGTCTGCTCAGCGTAGAGGAATCAGCTGTTCTGGAGCA